GGGAGAAGGAGCACAGACCCACGTCCTCCCCATCCCTCACCAGAATCCAGATGAGTCTACAGCGCGTGTGGGCTGCTCCCCTCCTCCCACCCTGGGAAACCCTCGGCCATACTTGCACGGTCCTTAGGGAGGACCCGAGGCTGCCCCCACCCAGGGTTGCCCCCTCCACTCCCACCAGGGCCCTCACACCCCACCCTGGGCACCTACAGCCTAAGGTGGGAGGGGGAGGGGGGCCGGCGGCATCTTTGTCCCATGCCTGCTGCTGTTCTGGTCCAGGGCCTGGAAAACCTTCCCCTCCCCTTCAGTTCAGATGTTCCTCCAGAAGACCTTCCCAGCAGCACAGGCCATTAGCCGCTCACGGCGTGGGGCTCCCTGCCCCTCTATCCTCTTTTATCTGCTTTTGGCTCAAAATGTTCCTCGTGTTTTCACATCTTACCTGCTGGACTGGGAGCTCCCTGGGGGCAGAGACTCGAATGAGTCATCTCCGGGTTTCTGCCCCAGCACGACGGGGGTTCATTACGTGCTGTTGGATGGTGGATAAATGGATGGCTGGGGTTTGGATAGATGGAAGGGAAGGGGATGGCTGGGTGGGGGCAGTGGGAGGACGGGGAGGGGGTAGATGGGAGGTGAATGGGAGGGTAGGTGGATGCAATATGGCTGATTTCTGGCATGTGGGACCCGACATTTTGGCAGGTAGATTAGACTTGTGATAAAACAGAACAAGTTTTCATCTTAAAGAGTGAGCCTCTAAGGGGTTTTTGTTGTTGTTGTTTTTTAAAAGATTTTATTTATCTATTTGACAGATCACAAGTAAGCTGAGAAGCAGGCAGAGACAGAGAGAGAGGGAAGCAGGCTCCCCGCTGAACAGAGAGCCCAATATGGGGCTCCATTCCAGGACCCTGAGATCATGACCTGAGCCGAAGGCTGAGGCTTAACCCACTGAGCCACCCAGGTAACCCATGAACCTCTAGTTTTAAAGGAGTCCAGGAGAGGGGTGTCCCAGCCTGCTGAGAGCTGAGGAGGGAGCACAAGCCCCATTACGGTGTGACTGTCATCTTCCTGGAGGCGTGCCTCTCCCAGCACTTGGCTTGTGGTGTCTTGTTTCTTCTTTATCATCTTGCTTGTTGGCTAGTTTGCCCTCTGAGCTCAGTGAGACACACCGGGGAGAAGCAGCCCTCCGTAGAACCGGCTCAGGGCGATCCTGGACCGCACTAAGCTTCATAGGGGGTGGTAAGAGGACTTTGGGGACGGACCCTCCTCACTTAGAGGGGACCGTGTCTCACCCTTCTAGGGTGGGGAAACCTGGCTTCAGGGCCTTCTCCCAGGAGCGGCCCAGCCATCAGGAAAATGTCTCAAGTTCTTCACTGTGGAAGTCCCTAAACAAAGAGGCAGGGGGAAAGCATGGGGACAGTGGATGTTACAGGAAGCAGTTAGAACCCTGGGGACAAGAGGAAGGACAGCAAGTACAAATTCACAAAGCTGAAGGTACCAAGCTTGTGGCTGTCCCCCGGAAACAAAGGCATTCAGAGCTGGAGAGACTTTCCTGGGTGGACTGCTGGACGCAAAACCCATTATGATCCTTAACCACCCCCCACCCCCACCCTGGCGCGCATCCACAACCAGGAGTCGCATGGCCTCCAGAATCACGCCCCAGGGGCCCAGGAAGGCAGGGAGTCCATAAGACTGCCACAGATGGCGCAGGAAGCGGAAGGAGTCCAGGTGCCTCCAAGGTTTCAGGTGTACGCCCTGTTCTTATATTAAAGACAGTGGGCTGGGGTGCCTGGGTGGCTCAGCGGGTTGAAGCCTTTGCCTTCCACTCGGGTCATGATCTGGGGGTCCTGGGATCGAGCCCTGCATCGGGCTCTCTGCTTGGCAGGGAGCCTGCTTCCTCCTCCTTCTCTGTCTGCCTCTCTGCCTACTTGTGATCTCTGTCAAATAAATAAATAAAATCTTAAAAAAAAAAAAAAAAAGACAGTGGGCTTCACTGTGAGAAGTGAGCGTGGGAGAGAAGATGGAGAGCTTGGTCAAGTTCGAGAAGCTGACTGGACGCACGTCGGAGGAGACAGCGGGATGTGGGACTCCGCTGCTCGGTGAGAGGTGCCAAGGACGGACACGCACGCGGGGCTCTGCGGCAGAGGCTCTTCCTAAGGCACGAGATTGGCCACGAGCGCCGCGGTTGCGAGGTGAGTAGGGAGCAGAGGGGGCCTGGGGCGAGGAAGGCCGCAGCGTGTGGGGGTGATCGGCTCTGTCCGGGGCTGCTGCCACACGAGCACGACGGCCGGGGCCTGAGCTCAAGCACATGTCGGCTTGCTCGGCCGGGCGTGGAGGCACAGCGCCGGCTGCCGTGGGCGCAAGGGCACGCGCCCCGAGAGCAGGAGCGTGTCAAGCCCGGGCTGGAGGGGGAAGGAGGGAGGAAGAGACTCCCGCTTGCTCTGCCTCCCGTTGCAGGCCACCCCGCCGTCGCCGTCCCATCCTGTCAGAACCAGAGCAGCGTCCGAGGGGTCGCAGCCCCTTCACGCTTTCCCAGCGGACCCTCCCCGGAACCTACAGGGCGTCCCGGGAGCTGAGCAGAGCCCCGGAAAACAGAGGGGAGGCTCCGGGAGGGCCAACGCACAGTGAATTTTGTAGACTCTTTGCTGGGAAGACAGCGGGTATGTTCTGACGCGACTACACGACACAGGACACAAGTCCAGTTTGCAAATCAAAAAGGTTTTATAGGATTCAAAGCAAAAAGTTACATCACACATACTCATTTAAATAACAAGTCAAAGTCTGTTACAGAAAACATAATTCCAAAGCATTTTCAATTTTATTACTGAAACTACTTAAAAAGGCTCCAAGTCAAAAAAAAGATGAAGCAAAATCGCTCAGGCGATAAAGTGCACTGGGGGGAGGGGCGCGCTCTGCTTCGGGGGGGCCCAGAGCTGCCGCCGTGGGCCTCCGCACTGAGATAACGCCAGGCCCCTGGTTCTTGGGACAGTGTTTCTCCGATGGAAACTCTCCCAATTTACAGTTTTTCAGTCAACAGAGTGGGGGGGAATGTCATTTACAGAAGGTATTTCTAAATCCCATTAGGAAATGGAAGTTTAAGTCAAAATCATTTTAACACATCTATTCCTTAGAAACGACACTGCTGGGAGAACGACCTCTAACGCGACAAGTAATCCAACACTCCAAGACCTTGTATCATCCACCAGAACGTTAGTCGGACTTCCATTATTTGGCATAATTAAGAGAAATACCCAAATTTAATGCCATTTAGCGGCACAGACACAGAGATGTTTTTGTTGATTTAAGACGGAAGTGGGAGAAGAGACTGCATCGTGGGGAAGCATGAACTATATACATTTAATTACGTTCTCTTGCAACGGCGCTGTCTGATGAGCTGTGGGAAAAGTCGACTATGAAGTGTTCAAAAATCTGGAAGCCCTCGGACACACGCCAGCACTCAGCCGTGCGCGCTGCGAGCAGCGGACACCAAAGGGCGACTTGCCGGGTATCAAGCACCACACGGTGACTCACCAGGCGATGACGACCAGGCTAAAAGGACCCGAACGTAAGAGCTAATCGTATTTATTCAATATTTCACGTTACCATCATTTTAATAAAAGTAAATGCCAATGACTAAGAGGCAGAGACAAAACCTAAATACATTTGGCACCAAAAAAAACCCTTCCCAGGCTCATGTTCCCTGCGCGCACCGCGTTGCCTGGATTCCTGCCGCCGCCCACCGTGAGCAGCTCAGCGGCTGCTCGGGCGCAGCCTCTATAGAGTCAGGACCTGAGATCGCACGGGTCCAAAGGGAGCCCTGGGTCTATTTTCTAAGCAGACTGCGGAACACCCCATTCCAAGTCATTCTGTTTGATTGACTTTCTTCAAATATAATGAACGAAAGGCGAGCAGAGTAGCATTCCCGACTGGACGTAACTAGCATTTCTCCTGTAGTTCTCCGAGTTTAATCACTAGGGGACTCAGAACCTCAGAGCTGGACATGTTTGCATGACCGCTTCGCCCCAGCTAAACTGTATTTTGGTGGAAAGTTCCTCCAACCGCTAAGGACCTTTTCTTCTCTAAGAAGTTACTCTACTCAAAAAATACACTAAGGCCACAGCAAAAGTCCACAGATTATTAACAAAGCGGCTGGGTTTGAGAGCTTATGTTATCTTTGTTTTGGTGTTTGAGGTACAAACAGGAAACTGAGTAAGTTGCTCTCAGCAGAGCCACGGCCCCAAAGACACCGACATTCAGACCCCGCAGCTCATTGTTCACCGGGTCTCTGTGCGGTATTTTAAACGACCCCCTGGGGTACATTCTTTACAAGTCACACCATGGACACAGGTAAATGACTAGACCTACTTAACCAAAACTTTAATTCTTTAGGCTCCAGCCTTAAAGGAATCGTTGCCTGGAATTTCTCTTGAAAATGCTATGAAAAAGCTAAACTCAAGTTCTTCCCCTCCTTCCCCCCTCATTTAAGAATCCCCTATTCAACCAATTCTGGTTCTAAAAAATTTGTAGATCTAAAAGGCCTGATGACAGACTCGTGGTTTTGTTTTGTTTTTTTCTGTGGCTGAATAATGTGCCAAATTTACCAAAAGTAGAGTTATTACGAAAACCATTGTTGAACACTGAAAAGAAGACTGTAAAATCACCTATCTAGAAATTGGTGGTTGGAACACCAACAATATAAATATTGTAATAAAAAACAGTATAAAAATTAGTACCCTGTCTCAGTTCTACAAAACACGAATAGAAAGGTTGTAAAAATCCAGATTTTGTAAACCTTATTGCCGAAATGTCGGTTTGAATGCTGGTGATTCAGATGATCCAATTTTCTTCCATTTCCTCAAAAAAAAAAAAAACAAAAAACTTCTGAAACTACAAAAGAGATTGAACAGGGTCCCAACCAAAAAAGGAAAAGTTTAACATACTTTCATCAGAACCAGCTCCCCGCTTTCTCCTGCAACCCCCCCCCCATTTTGGGGGGGAGAGAAAACCATCAGTTCCAATCCTGAAAAACGCCTCCTCCAGCTGCCGGGCAGCTCCCCGGCCGAGCTCTCAGGCGGAGGCCGGCACGGCCCCCGGGGCCCCCGGCTTCTCGGCCGAGGCGAGCGCGCTGAGCCGGCCCACCTCCGCCTGCCAGCCCGGGGCCTTCCGGGTGGTCACGTGGCGCCGGGCGTGCTTGGTCAGGTGGTCGCTGCGCATGAAGCGCCGCTCGCACGCGGGGCACGCGAACTTCTTCTCCCCGGTGTGAGTTCGCCGGTGGCGAGACAGTTCGTCGGATCGAGCAAATTTTTTATCACAGCCGTCCCAGTTACAGTTAAAAGGCTTCTCTCCTAAGAGGGGAGAAAACACACGTTCAAGGAAACGTAAACACTCGGCAGCTTCCGGAGCTGGGGAACGAACTCATGACGTTTTTAAATTTTGTTCATCAAACTCTGAGAAAGTCGCATCCTGTAATTCCCGCACCGAGCTGTCCGGACGTCAAGAAATCCTCCACTTCTTGTTGCCGCGCCTGAGATGTAGGTCAGGGCCCAAAGATGTCAAGCTAATCTCACATTTACGAATTTTCTTTTTAAAGATTTACCCATTTGAAAGCGAGTGCGCGCGTGCGTGTGTGCAGTCGTGTGTGCAGGTGTGTGCACGAGCGCGCAGCGGGGAGGGGTAGAGAGTCTCAAGCAGATTCTGCGTTGAGCGTTAAGTCTGACGCGGGGCTTGATCCCACAGCCCCAAGATCAGGACCGGAGCTGAAACCAAGAGCTCGGTGCCCAATGGACTACACCACCAGGGCTCTTCTCAAAAGGTATTTTTAAATAAAAATAAATCTCTCGTTGTTATAGCTTGCAGTAGGGGGGAAGATTCTTGAAAGGAATAATTTCCTGCCTCAAGTGGAGCCCCTTAGGGACGCCTGGGTGGCTTAGTCACTTTTTAATAGAGATTATTAGACTCTATTAGATTAGAGATTAGACTCTATTTCTTTTTTTTTAAAGATTTTATTTATTTATTTTTCTTATATTATTATTTATTTATTATCTATTTATTTACTTATTATTTATTTATTTATTTGGCAGATCACAAGTAGGCAGAGAGGCAGGCAGGTAGAGAGGGGGAAGTAGGCTCCCCGCTGAGCAGAGAGCCCAATGCGGGTCTCGATCCCAGGACCCTGAGATCATGACCTGAGCCGAAGGCAGAGGCTTAACCCACTGAGCCCCCCCAGGCGTCCCACTAGACTCTTGTTTCATTGGCTGAGTGGGAGGCGGCACGATTAGAGCTCTAATGAGCTCCAAGCCCCGCACCGATCTGAAGTGCATTTTGGAGGACAACACAACAGGGACTCACTGCTGTCCTACAGGCCGTTAGACATTCTGGTGGAAGGGGGTTCCACGACCAGGTTCATGACACACGTCTTTACTACAGACTGTGTGACCTGCTACTGTGCTTACAACTTACGTGTGTGTGTCAGCCTCTGACAGGTGAGTTTCACAGACTCCTTAACCACAGGAGCCTCGAACAAGAGAGCCGGGGACATCTGAAATATGCTAACGGGACCTATGAAGGCCGACGGTCTACCAGACCTCGGTCAAACCCGGAGCCGCCAGCCCCCTGGAGCTGCAGAAACGTAAACTTAACGAAAATGAAAAAGTCACTTCCTTAGTCACACTATCCACATTCCAGCTGGTGGCTACCTTAACTGGACAGGGAATATTTCTCTCATCACCAAAAACTCTCTCGGAGCAGGCTGACGAGATAATAAAGGTATTACTGAGTCACAGTTTCTTGGATGACTTCTCCTTCTGAATTAGAAACGATACATTCCCAACATAAGAACACCGCATCCCCTTCAAGTTCGCACATTTTTGAATTCAAACTTTTCCATGCTTTAGAGCCCTTTCCCCATAGTGAACCAAAGTTACACTGATGTTTCTTGAATATGAAATGCACATTTTCTAAAACGCAGAAAGACTGAGGAATCTACCGCAACATAAACAAAAGGGGCAACATGAGCATCACCCTAAAAACCTATCAAAGGGACCACAATCCTAGAACTACACCACATTTTACCTACTGGGATGAGCTGATGGCATGTTCTAGGAAAACCAATAATGGCTGCACTAATGTTAATCCCAATCCCTATAAGATTCTGAAGGCTTTTCAGAACCAAAGAAAAACAGCCAGCCCTCCACCTTCTCTGGGGGATCTCATGTTTCCCTCCCACCCCAGGAAGGCTCAGCGTGTGGTTCTTCACCACAGGCTCTGGAGCTCTAACATCCCACCAGCCTTCGAACTCACCTGTGTGGGTGCGAAGATGAGCCTTGAGGTGGGAACTTTTGAAGTAGGTTTTCCGGCAACCTGGGAAGTTGCAAGCATAATTTCTCCTTCGGGAAAAGTCTACCTGAGGGGCACAGTTTTGACCGGAGGCAATGAACACCGGGGCAGGGGCGAGGGGCAAGAACTTGCTATTCCCCACAGCCACGACACTGGACGCCGAGGTGGCAGGCTGGGGGAGGGCCGCCTGGGGTAGGACCAGCATCACAGCTCCCTGAGGCACAGGCGGTCCCACGAACACAGGCTGGGGCACTGCAGCAGCATGGGGAAGGATGGGTTTGACAGTCCCTGCAGACACTTGGGGAGGAGGTTTCAGAAAAGCTGAGAACATGCCACTCTGTCCAGTCACAGGGATCATTTGGCAAAAGACAGGGGAACTGGGGACAGGGACAGAAATCAGAGGAGTTGCTTTCCTTGGCAAGTCACTTTCATAATTCTTTGGTGAGCAGGTTTGAATTGCGACAGGCCACCCTGTCTGCTGGCCTTTGTCAACGGGGACCAGGCCACCAGACTTGTGCAAGCAAGGCTGACACGACACTGAGTTAGCGTTCGGTAGACTGTCTGTGAGCTGTGTGCCCGGCGAAGCTTCAGGATGTCCCAGAAACTGTGCTTCTCCTTCTCTGTCGACAGAAAGTTGGCATTCTGGAATCTGGGCAGTAGGCATCTGACCAGAAGCAGGGCTCTCCCCTGTGTGGCGGATGACACTTGTCACCATGGGCCTGCAGGGGTTACTGGAGGCTGGCTCCAGTGACTCTGTCTTCAGATCCGGAAGGCCCCTCTCCGCCTTCCTGCTCAGCACTTTGGCTGCCCCAGCAGAAGCTGGGGTGATGGTCTTGACCGTGCATGCTTTGGAATCAGTTACTTGGGAAGGAACAGGCGTCCCTGTCGATGGCTCCACAAGATCAGGGCTCTGAGGAGGAGTCATGCACTTAAAAAAAAAAAAAATGTGAAAAGGTTGTTGTGGTTAAATTTTAAAAGGACTTACTTTGATCACCGTGCCCCTCATGCCTTTTAAAAATTATGTAGGAAAGACTCGTCTGCGCCTGCTCACAACGGCACCCAGTGGATTTCCAGACCACATGAAGGACTGCACTTTCTAGGCTTCTCCCCATTTCCTGTTCGCTCCCAAACCAAACCACTTGCTTAATTTTAAGAATCAGCTCCACCCCTGGGCTTCCACAGCTACTGAAACGAGCAACTGAAGTACAAGAACCCCAAATGAGGAAGCAAATTTATATTCAAAATGAGAGCTTTTCACAATAGTTTTTGATTCTCAAACCTTATTTTTTATTTATTTATTTTTTTTAAATCCCAGTGCTAATCATTCAACACACACTTACGCAGTGCCTACTGGATGCCAGGTAAAAACCCGTCAGAATGATCCTCCAAAGGCCATGCTCTAACCAGTGGCTCTAACCAAGCCTCTCCTGCTCCCACGTACTGTCAGCCTCCCTGTGGGAGAGCTCAGTGCCAAGTAAGTCTGCCAGGAGCTTCTGGCCCACTATTGGCACAACTCTCCCCTCTGCCCACAAGTCCCTTCTCATCCCTCTCCCCAAGCCCGCTTTCCACACTCTCCTTCCAGGGCAAGCCTCCAGCCCAAGATAATCAGATTCTAATTTTCGCATCTGTTAGCCCGTTCTCAGTTTCTCCAAGCGGAGAAGCAATCTCTCCCAACGCTTCTGTGCTCTGGCAAGTTAAGAGGACAAAAACACAAACCGGGCTTGACTGCACTCAGCTCACACAGGTAAGAAGTGAGGTTCTCCAGGGAGGAAGAGGCCAGGATTGCCACCCGGCTAATTATGGCTGATGCCAAAGCATGGGCCACTTCTAGCTGTCACCCATGTATCCTGATCCCACGCTGAGTCACCTGGGGGAAGCCAAGCCCCCACCCTACAGTTCCCCAGGAAAGCGAGTACATTTCACTTTCTCACATCACTCTGTAGCTTTCCCCCTATGAACATTTCAGCACTGGGGCTGCAAGCTATGATCTATTAATGGAAAGAACGTATTTTCGAGAATTAGGAGAAGTTTTCACCCTCAGGACCCACGTCTTCAGCACATTCATCTAACACACTCTAGTCACTACACAAAATGCTCTTCTCCCCATTTCTTACCAGAGTCGATAAAGAGTCGAAGTCCTTTGGTAGCTCAGGTGTGGCTGTGTCCACATGCACAGTGCTGGTGACGTCCCCAGGGTCAGAGACAGGTGTGAGGGGTCTTATCTTTAACAGGTCACCTTTCTGGGATCTTTGACCCCAGGAGCTCATGCAAACAAGAGCCTCAACTGCTTCGATGTCATTCTGCTCCAAGATACTGCATGTAGACCTTTCACTATCATGCCTTTTCCTCTCCAGGATTGACTCACAGATGTCCATGATGTCCACCTAAAGGCGACACAACACAAAGGCTTCTCAGTCCAGGGGAGACAGGCAGGGTAACCCTGATGGGCACGTGGGTACGTACACCAAGCGCCTGCACTATGCACGTGACACACACACGAAGCTCAACACACAACATGCTCTGTATTCTAGGAAAACACGTCAACAGAACATTGACGACAATTTCACTTTTAAGCCAGCGTTCTGAAGAATGACTATGACTGGACATGGCTGGCAAGCAGTTTCCATGGAAAACCCTGACTCTTAAGAAAAGTTAAGTTCGTGTTTTCCTTCAGCAATGATCGTTTAAGACTTTAATCCCGGAGGTATGAGCCAAAGTGGCCAGTGTGACACTGTCCAGCTGGGAGGAGAAACGGACACCAGCTCCAAGCCTTCAGCTGGCTGAGAGGACACATGGCTCTTCAGAGTAGGCAAAGCTGGCAGAAAAGCGTCCCTACAGATGCATTTTTGGCAACTCTGAGGCACTCAGCACAGCCTTCTCAAGTCAGGGCATTACCATGGCAGAACTTTACAGTGGCTCAACTCTATCAGCGCCAAGAAGGGGGAGCCCATGCTGGCTGAGCCTTGTTCCTTACTCAGGAACAGTCACTCCTCACTGCCACAGGGCTAGCAAGGAGATAAGAAGAAGAATTTTAAAAATCTAGCACAGCCCAAGAGACAGTTGTCCTTCCTGTTGTGTCAAAGCATCCTTTTTCAGCAGGGGTGGGAGGGGTGGAAAGAGAAGTGATTGGAATCAAATGATGTCCTCCCAAAGACCCTTTACATCTATAAAGATCTGTTTCCCTTTGGCTTGCCCCAGCGAACATCAAATCCCTCCATCCCCACCAGGTCCCTCTGCAGTGCAGTGCACGCTGGTAAAGTGCCCGCCTTTGCAAGTGCAGGCACTTTAAAGTGCCACTGTGGCCCCACAGCGGCCTCAGAACCCTGAGGTCACAGACATGGGGCTGTCGCCTCCTCCCTGGACCACCATGGGCAGGTCGGGAGGCACACAGGGCTCCCACACCTCTCTCTCAGGCACTCAGGGCGCGGCAGTCTCGAGGACAGAAGTCCTAGGTCTAGCCACCCAGCTCACTCCCGGGGCCCTCAGGCCCAACACCAGAGGGCTATGACTAAGAAGAGTGCCCCACCTGGCCCCAGAACACCCCCCCACCCCCGCCTGCTCCTTCCCGCCAACTTTACCCCGCCCCTGCCCCAACACACCACCTTTCCGGTTTTGCCCCGCCCCCTCCATAAGAACTTGCTCCGCCCCCTATATAAGGCCTTCCTCCCAGCTCCGCCCCCCCCCCCGCCTCCCCCCCCTCTCCAGCCTTGCCCCCCCCCCCGCCCCCCCCCCTCGCCCTTTTGCCCTCCCCCCCGCTTTGCCCCGCCCCCACCCCGCCCCCCGCAGCGCCTTCCCGCCAGCTTTTGCCCCGCCCCCTCTCCCTCTCCACCGCCCGCTCGCCGCACCCCCGCCGCCCGCGTGTCGCGTTCCCGCCAGCCGTGCCCCGCCCAACGGCCGCCTCCTCACACGGCCTGGTGACGTCATGGCTGGAAATAGCCCCGCGCCGGGAGCCGGCGGCCGCTGCGGAAACGCCAGACAAAGCTACGCGTAGGGCGGCGCGGGGCACACGCCCCCGGCCGGCCGGACGCGTCCCCTGCCTCTCCCAGCTCTGGGGTCCGCTCTGGCCCCGCACCGCGCGGCCGCCACAAAGCCCCGTGCATTTCTGCCCTCCTCCGCGCCCGAGCCCCGCACAGGCGGCACGTCCCCGCCTCGCCCCTCGCTCATATGGGCGTCCACTCACCGCACGCGCGTCGCCCGGGCCCGCGGAGCCCTGAGTGTGCATGGTGCCGGCGGCCCAGAGGCAACAAAGCAGCCGCGGGGCGGGAGCTCGGCGCACGGCTGCAGCCGCACGTGCGCCGCGGGAGGCGGCGACCCGGAGCCCCTGCAGCCGGCGGGAGCCTCCACCCGCCCGCGCCGCTCTGCCCCGGCGCGGCCCTCGCGGTGCGGGAGGGGCGGGGCGGCCGCGGAGGGAGCGGCCGTGGGGGCGTGGCGCGAAGGCAAACCAAAATACACCGCGCCCCGCCGGGGCGGGGCCGGGTGCCCGCCAGCCAATCCGCGCCCGAGCTTTACGCTGCCGGCCAATGGGCGCCGCGGGGAGCCGCGTGATCGGAGCCTGGCTGCGGCGTGATCTGGCAGGGCGGGATGCGGCACGTGTTTTGGTCTGAGTGAGGGGCGGGGCCTGAGGCCCTGGAAAGTAGGGGAAAGGTCCCGGCGGCAGCAGCGGGTGCTGCTGGAGGAAAGGGCGGTGCAGATGGGGGGGGATGTCCCCGGGCTGGGGAGGGGGGGTCGCACTTAAAGGGGTCCCTCTCGCGACCTGCCCAAGCGCAGGTCCCCATGGAGTGAATTCGTCCGTTAGAGGGAACCCAGCAGGTTCTGCTCGCTTGTTTTTTGTTTTTATTTTTGTTTTTCAATTTACCTCTGGTTGGCTCCTAGGAGTGCATCCCTGATGGAAAGCTGGTTGGCTGCAGGTGATGTTTCTGCATCCATGGCTCCTTTCTGCAGGCTCCCAGGGCCCAATCTTCTAGACGCGGGTCTGCCTTTGACCTCTCTTCCCAGGCAGCTCTGGGCCCCATTTTCCACTCTTTTAAGGGGAGTAGGGTGAATCAAGATCTGAAAGGCGCCTGGTGACACCCTCCCATTCTTCCTAACTCTGTGGAAGCATCACTCCCTCCAGGAAGTCCTCTGGCTTGAATGAGCGGAATATGCACTGGCATCTTTCTTCCCTGCGTACTTGGGTTGCCCCTGTCTCTGGGTGTGGTTTACCCTCTTATGCAGCTCTAAGTTCTTGAAGATCAGGGACCAGGCTGTTTTTATGTGTACCCCTCCAGCCTGCCGCTCAGCGTGGGACAATGCCATATCCACCCACAGGGCCCACGGTGGCCGAGCTGTGATACGGGTGGGCGCAGCTGAGGGTCAGAGGCCACCGTGAGGCGTCCTCCGCCCTAAAAGCGAACTGCAGGACTAGGTAAAGGATCCATGCCTGCGCTGCGGGGGCTCTGCTCTGGGCAAGAGGAGCCCTGGGCCCAAGGGACAGGCCACAAGAGCGTATAGGGTCTCCTGGTAAGGCAGCAGGGGAGGCCCCGGAGTCAGGGTACTGCTTCTCCTCATAGTTCTGCTCGGTTGGGTTGACAGGGGTAAGCAAACCAACTACTCTCCATTTCTTCTTCAGTTCCACCCCGGCACCTTTTAGGATCTGTTGCTTTTCTGTTTCTTTAGTTATTTGTTAATTGTCTCCCCTCCCTAGGTTGGCAGCTTGTCCCAGTCACTGCGAAACAACACCGCCCCCCCACCCCACTGCTGCCCGGTGCCTGGCTCACTGCAGGAACTCGGTAGCCATTGGTTGAATGGATGAATGAAGGCAAAACACCTACTGCCCCTCCTTCCCAACTTGGACATCCTGCTGACACCTCTAATTCTGTGCCCTTGAGACTGAACTCACGGTCTGCCCAAATCTGCATTTCTCATCTCTGGGCAGGGCATCACTGGATACCCTGAGACTTCACCCAGAGAGGGGAGTCACCAGGGAACTTTCCCTTTCCTGCACGTGGTTCCTTTTGCCAATTACTTCATGCCCTTCTTCTTCCTAAATCTCTCGCAGACCACTAGCTTCCCTCATCACCCACTCGTGCCCAGCCCAGGCCACCGTCCTCTGTCCCCTGCGTTGTTTGCCACTGCCTCCCAGCAGGTGTCCCTGCCTCCAGCCTCACTGCCTATCATCCGCCCTTCATCTCACTGCTAGAATGATCTTCTGGAAGGAGATACGGTACCAAATCAGTGTGTCAACTCTCAGCTGGGAGCCAAGTAGCTACAGGACTGAACCTCGCTCCTTAGGCAAGAGTCTGTGATGTTGCACGACAAGTCTGGCCCAGAGCTTCCTATGTGGCGCCAACCAATTCCCTGAGTCCCTTTGGTTCTGGCCGTCCTGCCCCCACTGCCCCAGTACAGAGCTCTGTGCACCAGCCCCTGCCTCTCAACAACATCGGGCCCAGTCGCTCCGTCCTGCTTTGCACAGGGCCTGCCTTCTGTGTGAACACGGCACCCCCTCTCCACTTTGGCTCTGTACTCCTCAGGGATGCCCTCCCTGACTCCCACACGGCAGGACAGCTCAGTAGAAGGCTAAGGGCAGGGCTTGGGAGTCGGACTTGGATGCAAAACCCAGCCAGGCCAGTGTGGCCCCATCACGTGGCCGGCCGTGTCTCTGTTGAATACGAGATGGCAGCTGCTGGCCATGAGGACCGCACATGAGCTTCTCCCGCATCAGACTCTGTGCCTGCCCCCGGACGGCGGGAATACGGGGGAACTTGGACGGCAGGCCGGCTCAGGGCTCTTCAAGCATGAGAACCTAGCCTTCCTTTGTCTAGCCCAGGTTAGGGACAGACACACAGGTCTTGGGTCCTGCTGGCCCCTCCTTTTTTCCCCCTCCCCCCTACCCAGATCCTGCCTCTCCACGAAGCTGCCCACGGGGCTGTGCTTGCCGCCACCCCCGGGTGCTGGTCCCGCGGGGACCCAGAGGCGTAGTGCTGTGCTTGTGAATTAAGACCGCTCCAACTTGTTCGCTCTGAAGCACTGAGGCCCTCAGACAGTGTGGACAGACTGACGTGGACATGACAACTGCCCCTGAGCGGACCACCACCACCTTCCAGTGTGACCTTCCAGCCAGTCTGTCTGTGCAAACATGCCCTTACCCAGTGGATAGTGTTCTGTGCGCCTTCGGAGCCCGGGTTGCTGATTTCACAACACCTCTTAGAGCGTGTCACCTCCCTGTTCGCAGAGATGGGCCTTGTGCTTTGGAAGGGTTAAGAGATGCTCCGTTGTATGAATGTGTCCTGACTTACTTTACTCCTGGTTAAAGCAGCGGGGTGTTCAGGCTCTTAACTTGCCAGGACGAGATTCCAAGCATTGTCTGCCCATGAGCAAGGACACCTACAGGGTCACCTCCCACGAATGGGGTTGCTGGGTCAGCTGCCTTTGCATTTCTTTTCTATCATTTTTCCTTTTGGTAAACGTCGGTGAAGCACCGGACAGATCTAGGAAACGTGGAAACATACAGGTACTGCTCACGGAATCTGTACAAGGCACACGCTTGATGCCACTGGCACCCGGATGGAGAAACAGAACAGCAGTTGTGTCCTCGGAGTCCCACCCCACCCACCCTGAGCCCAGCCAGGAAGACCCCAGTCGTGGCTTTTGAGACCAGAGGAGACTTCTGCATGTACTGATACCTGTACCCGGAGAATCTTACAGTTCCCTTCGGGGTCGAGCACGTAGTCACTTGTAGCCGAATTAATTCATTCTCGCTGCAGAACACGCCATGAGGCATTGGCCCAGTCATCAGTGGACCGACATCAGGATTGTTCCAACCCAGGGTTACCACGAAGCAGATGCTTTGACGCTTCTTATATGTAAGTACACGCATTTTAAATTTAGAAAGATTGTCACGTTTTCCTCCAAGCGTGAACTTGTGCCGAGTTATCCCACCAACGAGGGACTGCAAAGCCAGTCCCCTCTTTCTTTACTAATGCCAGGCCTTCTCAAGTTTTCTGACCTTTACCCAGCTGAGTGGAAAAAATGAGAATTCATATTATATCGCATTTCTCTGATGGAGTTTCCTTCAGAGTTTTTCGTGTGTTTGAAAGCCATCTTGATTTTGTTTTTTTTGAACTTTGGAAGGAATTTTTTTTTTTTCAAGGGTTTTATTTATTTGAGAGAGCGAGCGGGCATGCTCAAGCAGGGGGAGCAGCAGACAGAGAGAGAAGCAGCGTCCTTGCTGAGCAGGGAGCCCGAGGCGGGGTTCGATCCCAGGACCCCGGGATCATGACCTGAGCAGAAGGCAGCCTCTTAATCGACTGAGCCCCCCAGATGCCCTGGAAGGAATTTTATAAAAGACAGTACAGAAACCTGAGGATGTTTATATGCTGGAGACAAGGGGCCAGTGGAGAAAAGTGAATGATGCAAGACAGAGGTGGGGGACTGAGGGGAAAGGGGGGAGGAGGCCAGGGAAGTGTGTGTTGGGGAGGATGGGGGACACGCAACAGGGAAGTTGACCCTGCGCAGGAGGGAGGGATTGCCTTGTGGGAGAACATGGGAAGGGAGAGAAATGGCTGGAGATCCAGGAAGATTCTGGGTTGGAGAGGAAGGCAGGCCAACGTGTTCCCGTATTCTCCGCCTTCTTGGTGATGTGGGAGGCATCTACCCAGGAGGGGCCCTGGTGGGATGAGAAGGATTTGGAGCTGACTCAGCCAGGGACAGTGACGAATGCCGCCACACTGCGGGCCCAGTCATACTGTTGGAGTGACCCTAGACCAAGAATTGGGCTCTTGTCCTAGCTCCGGGGATTCAAGTGCTCAGTCACCTGAAGCAGGCCTCCTTCTCTTCCCTGAGCTCGGTTTTCTGACTTTGCTCTGTGATTCTAATCAGTCCCGAACTATGACCAAGTTTGTTGTCATGGTTTTGTTGCTTCCCTACCCCCATGTTGTAAAGTACAATTTAAGGACTATCATTTATTACAGAGATTAGATCGCTCCTTTCTTTTTTTCGTTAGAACGGTCTGTGTTTTAGGAAGAGGTAGCGATGGCAGATGGTACAGAATGCTGTAACCTGTGAAAACAAAACATTGGCAGCCCCCCAAATTGGTTCTGAAATTTTGTGGTCAGTGAAATGCCCAAATCTGGGGCTCTCTGGTTGTTTCTAGAGGCTCATTCTGTCTCTGAGAGCCATGATTCTGCAGGGCGGGCTGGACTCCTTTCCATGTTGAACTGGGAGGAGCAGATTTCTTTCTTTTTTTTTTTTTTTAAAGGGAGTAAATGGCAGAGAACTAGA